CCCCCCCCCCCCCGTCAGGACGGGGCCTAGAACGCCCCGACAAGAACCCTAGACAAGTACTGGCACATCACTTAAAACAGTAGTCCTAAACCATTAACTCGTACCCACAATTAATGTATGCCCAGATGGACAGAGCACCTTCTTTTTTTGCCAGCACTGATGCCCTCATAGCAAGTATTAATGACCAATCTTTGCAAAACCAAATTCTTTTGTTGGGGTAAAGGGACAGGCTTGAAATCAAGAGTCTCAGCCCACTGTAGAAGTTACACATAGAAATGTGTTTTAGAAAAGAGTTTCTTGCTCTGGGGTGCATGAAACTCACCAGAATATAACATATGCACCATGTTAACAGAAAGTTATCTTTTTGTTCACTGCACTTAAAATAGAACTTGCCACATAGTAGTTGCTCAATAATGAATGGATGGACCCATGAAAATACTTGTGTGGGGACTCTGTATGTGTACATCTGGGTAGATGACCATGGCTTTTTTTCAGATTTCCAAAGGGATATGTAACCCCCGACAGGAAAAGAATTATGGAGTTAGAGCCTAAGAGAGACTTGTTTATGGTTTGTAATCCACTTTGCCAAACCATGTCAGGCACATGATATATGGATGCTGGAAGATTCTGTAAGGGGGACATGAATTCTCACATACCTTTCAAAGCTTCATTGATGTAGGTTTTGTGGTAAAATATCCTATCGGTATCTTCCACTTTTGGATTTGTCAGCCCCACTCCATTTTCAGTGATGTAAATGGGTATGTCACCATACTCTTCCTTGATCCAGTTGAGCAGTCTTCGTGTCCCCCAGGGTGCAGCTCTGTTTACTGCTGTGGAAGGCCATGAAGGGTCCTCCTCCTTGGTTGTCTCCTGGTCATCTTCATAGGAGGGTGGGTTTAACCTGGGTGTTTTGTGCTGCACAATTCTGGAGGAGTAGGTGTTGAGGCAGAACACGTCAGCTGTGGCCCTGATGTACCTCTTCTCTTCCTCAGTGAAGCTTGGCAGGCGGGAGGTGGCTAAGTGTTGAAGCTCACTCCTGTTCCCCACTTTCCACTTCATGGCATCGGGATAGTCTCCGTTTCGGAAAATGGGGTGGGCAAACCAGCCCAGTGAGAACTGCAGCATTCGGTCAGCTGCCTCCACATCCCTCGGGATCTCAGGGGACTTGGGCTCTGCCCAGTGTGCACTGAGGCTCAAAGAGATGACCCCCTTCTGTTCCCGCCTGTATTTCTCATCGTAAGTGTGATATACTCTGGCATGAGCTTTGATGATTGCATGGCCAATTCTGTAAGGTCCCCAGCCTGGGTCTTTCACCTTTGGAGGAAAATCCCCTGAGCCATAACCCAACCATGCCTGGTATGTGGGCTCATTAAAGGTCATCCAGAACTTGACTCTGTCCCCAAAGGTCTGGAAACAAAAGTCTGCATAGCTGTTAAACAACTCAATCAAGGAAGGATTTTCCCAGCCTCCAATATCCTGGAGGGCCTGGGGCAGGTCCCAGTGGAACAGTGTCACCATGGGAGAGATGTTGCTTGCCACCAAGCCATTGATCAGCCTGTTGTAATAATCAACACCGTGTCTGTTGATAGAACTGTTTCTCCCTGTTGGGAAAATCCGAGACCAGGAGATAGAGAAGCGATAGGCCTTCACCTTCAAAGCTCGAAGCATATTCAGATCGGCATCCAGTTGGTTATAGCTGTCACAGGCGATGTCTCCAGTGGCATTCCCTTTCACATTGCTCCCTGGTGTGTGGGTGAAGTTATCCCAGATGCTGGGGCCTTTGCCATCAGCATTCCAAGCTCCTTCAATCTGATAGGCTGATGAGGACACGCCCCAGAGAAAGTCCTCTCTGAAAGTGCCATGGTAGAACAAATCTCTTTCAAACTTGGGTTGGTTGGAGAACTTTTCCCAAACTACTTTAGCTTTGGAGGGCACATCAGACGGAAAAGTGAAGGCTCTGATTTTACGTGGGAAGTTTGCTATACTAGGTGGTGGCAGTCTCTTTACGGCCTTGGGGAGGAAACCGTTCTTTTCAATGATGCTGGTGAAAAAGTAGGCAGATTTCCTGGGAGTCCTTGGCTTGCTGCTGTCATTGAAGTTGACATGATACAGTCCAAACCTCTGGCTGTAACCAAAGGGGCCTTCAAAGCCATCCATGAGGGCACGAGTGATGTAAGATCGAACATCCACTAAGTCCTCCTTGATAGCTATGGAGAAAAACAAAACTTTGGATTATTTTCAAGTCTCTGTGGGGCACCTGGGTGACTCAGTTGGTTAAGTGTCTGACTCCTGATTTTGGCTCAGGTCACAATCTCACAGTCGGTCAGGAGAGAGCCTCCTGAACCCCACCCTTGGGCTCTGTGCTGACGATGGAGCCTGCTCTGGCTTCTTTCCCTCTCTCCCTCTCCCTCTGCCCCTCCCCTGCTTGCACTCATGCTTTCTCTCCCTCTCTCAAAAATAAAAAATAAAAATAAATAAAATAAAAAAAAAATAGTCTCTGTTACTGATGTTGCTATTTAAAGGTTTTCCTTTTCATATGCACGTTTTGGAGGGGATTTAAGTTACCCCAAAAATGTTAACCCTTTTTCCTCAGAATGAATAAAAGAGAATCCACAAGATGCCCACAAATCATCAGGCCACATCTATGGTCATAAACCTCAATCCAGAAGGCCATCCCTGCCTCAAAATGAATACAAGCATGTGTCCCATCTGCTACTATCAGGATTCCTTGTTTTTTTATAGAATGCATAAATCATTTAATATTTAAAATATACTTTTGTTTTTCCTTATGTCTAGCAATACTGACATAAAATGATCACACATCCCCTCTTAAAAAAGAGAAATAACGCCTACAGTAAGGTATTTCCTGGTACAGTGAGCTGAATGGTGGTCCCCAAAAAGATATGTCCAAATCTTAACTTGGTACCAGTTTATGTAATCTTATTTGGAAAAGAGGTCTTTGTAGATGTAATTAAGTTAAGGATCTTAAGATGAGATCATCCTGCATTAACTGGGTGAGTCCAAAATCCAATGACAAGCACCCTTAAAAGAGAAAGATAGAAGGTCTCCACGAAGATGGAGGCAGAGATTGGGGCAATGCAGCCAACAGCCAAGAAATGCCTGGAGCCACCAGATGCTGAAAGAGGCAAGGAAAGAGTCTCCTCTGGAGACTTCGGAGGGAGAGTGGCCCTACCAGCATCTCCATTGTGGACTTCTGGCCTGCAGAACTGTGAGAGAATAAAAAAAAGCATCTAGTGAGTCAACCAAAAACCAGTGTCAAAGTAAAGCAATGGCTTTGGGCTCAAACTGGGAACCAGCAAAGTATTAAGCCCTATTTTTATCAGATTACACAGCCTCTCAACAAACATTGACTATATAAGAGGCTGGCAATTCATTTATTTTATATAATTCATTTATTCATTCAATGAATAATTTAGTAAACACCTACTTTGTCCCAGGCTGTAAAAGGCTCTAGAAACAAAAATGAATAGAAGCTTCATAGGTTAGTGGGTATTGATGAGCCAGTGATAGAAAGGCCTGTAGTTTCACTCACTGGCTGTTTGGGCACACCATGTAATCTCTCAGAGCATCAGTTTTCACAATGGTCCCAGGAGGATGATCTCTGCCCCTATTTTCTGCACAAGGCTGTTTCAAAGATCTCTTGAGATATATCCTAGAGGGATTCCAAGATTGTGAAGATTACAGAATTGTACCCTTGATGCTGAGAACACAAGCAAAGTAAAAGAGAGGGTGTCTGGCCTCATGAACACTGAGGCCTCCACTCCCTAAGGTGTCTCCATTCCTAACTGCAGTGCCCAGGGTAGGTATTGCTAGTCAACTCTTTCTCTCTGAATCTACACAAGGCCTTGAAATCTTCTCAGAATAGCCCTCTAGGCAGGTGACTAGCCATATATCACTTGATTAGTGCTGATATAGGAGATGAAAATTATTTGCCATTCCTTTTTACTTGGAATAAAAAGACATATGGGGAAAAGATAGTCTTCAACAAATGGTGTTGGGAAAATTGAACAGCTACATGCAAAAGAATGAAAGTGGACCAATTTTCTACACCATACACAAAAATAAACTCAAAATGGATTCAAGACCTAAATGTGAGATCTGAAACCATAAAAATCCTACAAGAGAGCACGGGCAGTAACTTCTCTGACATCAGCCATATCAACATCTTTCGAGATATGTGTCCTGAGGCAAGGGAAACAAAAGCAAAAATAAACTATTGGGACTACATAAAAATAAAAAGCTTTTTCACAATGAAGGAAACAATCAACAAAACTAAAAGACAACCTCTGGAATGGGAGAAGATATTTGAAAATAACATATCCAATAAAGGATTAATATCCAAAACATATAAAGAACTGATACAACTCAACACCTAAAAAACAAATAAACCAAGTAAAAAATGGGCCAAAGACACGAGCAGACATTTCTCCAAAGATGACATCCAGATGGCCAAAGGACACATGAAAAGATGTTCAACATCACTAATCATCAGGGAAATGCAAATCAAAACTACAATGAAATATCACCTCATGCTTGTCAGAATAGCTAAAATCAAAACCATAAGAAATAATAAGTGCTGGTGAGGATGTGGAGAAAAAGGAGCCCTCATGCACCATTGGTAGGAATGCAACTTAGTGTAGTCACTGTGGAAAACAGTATGGAGGTTCCTCAAAAAAAAAAAATTAAAAATAGAATTATGATGTGATCCAGTAATTCCACTACTGGGTATTTACAAAGAATACAAAAATACTAATTTGAAAAGATATAGGCACTCTGTTTACTGCAGCATTAATTACAATAACCAAATTATGGAAGCAGCCCAAGTGTTCATCAATAGATGAATGGATAAAGAAGATGTGGTATTTATATATAATAGAACATTACTCAGCCATAAAAAAGAATGAAATCTTGTCATTTGCAACAATATGGATGCATCTAGATGATAAAATGCTAAGTGAAGTCAGAGAAAGACAAATACCATATGATTTCATTCATGTGTGGAACAAACAAAACAAATGAACAAAGAATAAAAGAGATAAACCAAGAAGCCGACTCTTAACCATAGACAACAAACTGATGGTTACCAGAGAGGAGGGGTGGAGGGGGGTTAAATAGGTGAAGGAAATTATGAGTACACTTATCATAATGAGCACTAAACAATGTATAGAATTGTCAGATCACTATATTGTACACCTGAAACAAATATAACACTGTGTGTTAACTATACTAGAATTAAAATAAAAAAAATTTAGGTGTGCTTGGGTGGCTCAATTGGTTATGATCTCACAGCTTTTTGTGTCACATCATGATCTCATGATTCATGAGTTCAAGCCCCACATCGGGCTCTGTGCTGACAGCTCAGAGCCTAAAGCCTGCTTCGGATTCTGTGTCTCCCTCTCTCTCTGCCTCTCCCCTGCTCGTGCTCTCTCTCTCTCAAAAATAAACATTAAAAAATATTAAACTCTCTTTCTCTCTCAAAAATAAATAAATATTAAAAAAATCTTTTAAAAAATTTAAAAAGATGTATGAAACTATGTTAGGTAAGACTGGTGCAGTCGATATGAATTAATGGGATCAAAGTGAATGATGTGGAATGTAGATTTTATAGCTGACTTAAGGAGATGGAGATGAATGTGGCCAGAACAACGAGGGAAGATTTAATGGGTTGGAGTCCCCTCCTATAATGCCATTGGCATCCTTTATTACAATTTTCTGTCTGTGACCCTCTGTAAACTCTGAGGGTCCTATGGGAAAAGATGATATTTGCTCAATATTTTACCCTTACTGTCTTGTGCAATGTGCAGTACATAACAGGCACTGAATAAATATTTGTTAAATGAATGTGTTAAAAGATGATGAGTCTTTGATCAATGGATAGGACTCAAATGGGCAGAGTGTAGGAGGCGGCATTATAGGGAATAAGAACATAGGAACAAACACTTGAGGCTTCTGGGGGAAACAGCTAGGAGGCTGATATGAAGGACTCATGCTATTACTACTAACACTACTTTTTGGCTTCATTTTCTTAGGAGACTGTCTTTGTCTCATTAAACAGAAATCTGAAGACTTGGAGAAGTACCACCCACCTTCCAATCACCAGCATATCCACCATTCTTACCTTTGAGCACCTCATTGATATATTTATTGAAGTAGTCTACTCTCAAGGAATCCTCAAGGAGATCTTCAGTCTCCCCTATGGGCATGCCATTCCCAGCCAGGTAGATCGGAACTTTTCCTCTTGTGTATTCCAAAGATACAAACTGCAATAGCCTCCTTATACCCCAGGGCACGACATAAATCCAAGGGGATGAGGTCTGAGGCCATGCAGGGTCCACATGTTGGGAAAAGCCTCCAATGGTGTCATAGCTAGGGATGCAGGAATCTTGTTGGGCCGTGCTGATAAGGCGAGAAGTGTAATGAGACAGACCCAGAAAATCAGCAGAGCCTTTCAGGAGTTGCTTCTCTGCCTCAGTGAACTCAGGGAGCTGGGCCACAAGACTGGGGCACTGTTGGTTCATCTGTTGGATTTGGGCCTTCAGGGCAGCAGGGTAGTCTCCATCCACAAAGATGGGGTGTGCAAACCAGCCCAGCATGAAGTGCAAGAAGCGTTCAGAGGCACTCAGGTCCTCAGACCTCTCTGGGGACAGAGGTTCTGCCCAGTCTGAGTTCAACACAATGCCCACACGTCCCTGCTGCTGTGGACGATAGTGGCTATTATAGTGGTGCCAAACTCTGGCATGAGCCTTGAGGACCAAGTGAGCCACCTTGTGAGGAAAAAAAAAGAAAGAAATACAGTGCTTAATAACAACTAATAGCAAAGCCAACAACAACCACAAGCCAATAACAAGTCTACAACAACAAGTTAATACGAATGTCAATAATGTTACCAATGTTAATAAAATAGCCACAATGAAAATGTCCACATCAATAACAGCACCAATGTCAACAACATCAGGAAGTCATCAGCAGTCAATGCCAATATCAACAAGTCAACAATATCAAAAAGTAGTTAAGATTGATGCTAACAATGTCAGTAAATCAACATGGACAATGTTGACATCAACATCATCAGCACAAACGCCAGCAATATCAACAGCCAATAACATCAACAAGTCAACATCACCATCAACAAGTCAATAGCAGTAGCATCAATAACCATATTTCACAGTAAAAAATTGTTAATGAATTCTCTCATAAGCTCCTCCCAACAGTCTTCTGTGACAGTATAATTATTATTACCACTATATAGATGAGGGGAACAAGATCTAGAGAGGTGTAGAATGTAAGAAGCCTGACTCTAGGCCTGTATTGTCCCCCATGATGCTATTCTGACTTTGTTCTTAGTAAGTGCTTATTGAATAATTCATCAACAACGAATTTGGGACGGTCATTTTATTTGACACAGAAGGGATGGGACAATTCTTTCTAACCTACCTGCTCTTTCCACTTAATGAAATCTAGGAGGAAAACCCATGACCAGGAATCTCTTTGTAGACTTAACTCAAGGTCTTACAAAAGTTAACAGCTTTCCTTGGCAGAGTGCCATGGGAAAACGGGCAAAAGCAGGGTGTCTGGAGTGTAACAAAACTAGACTTAAATTTTGACTTTGTCACTAACTTGTTTCTCATTCAGTTTCCTTGTATGCAAGAAGTGGTAATTATGCATTCATTTAGGAGGACTAAATAAGATCATGTATATAGAGCACCAAGCAGACACTTGGGGTGTAGGAGGGAGATTGCTATTGCTTATCATCCTTTCCTTTTTTATTTTTGTCATCTGAAGATAATGACACTTACTCTTGAAGACTTTCAGATCAAAATATGCCTTAGGAAGTCAAACTCCTCATTGCTTCTCATGTTGCAAATGTTAATCCTTAACAGGGTCCTAAACTCCAATGGCAAACTGTGCTTCTTTCCAAAAGGCAGGAATGTGTGCCTTCTAAGTGAGTCAGCATCAGGCAGGGGGCTCAGCAGAATATGAAACAACTAGCAAAACCAGTCATTGTGGCCATGTAAGAACATGGAAAGGTGTTAATGACATGTCAGATAAGAAATGGGCACTAGGGTGATTATGACAGCCAGTGTGGGTTCAATCATCATAACAAATGTACCATGCTGGTGGGGGATGTCAAAATGTGCACGCGTGGGAGCAGAGGGTATATGGAAAATCTACGTAACTTCTGTTCAATTTTGCTGTGGACTTAAAACCACTGTAAAAAATAAAGTCTACTTGGGGCACCTGGGTGGCTCCATCAGTTAAACATCTGATGTCTTGATTTTGGCTCAGGTCATGATCTTATGGTTTGTGGGTTTGAGCCCTGCATCAGCACTGTCAGCATGGAGTCTGCTTGGGATTCTCTCTCTCTGCCCTTCCCCCACCTCTCTCTCTCTCTCTCTCTCTCTCTGCCTCTCAAAATAAATAAACATTAAAAAAATAAAGTCTACTTGAAAAAATGTACTAAGGGGTGCTTGGGTGGCTCAGTCGGTTAAACGTCCGACTTTGGCTCAGGTCATGATCTCACGGTTTGTGAGTTCGAGCCCCACGTCGGGCTCTGTGCTGACAGCTCAGAGCCTGGAGCCTCCTTCAGATTCTGTGTCTCCCTCTCTCTCTGACCCTCCCCTGTTCATGCTCTGTCTCTGTCTCAAAAATAAATAAATATTAAAAAAATGTTTAAAAAGGCACTGAATTTAGTGCACTCTGTGAGTACACTGTGAATGCAAGGACTGGAAGGACATATGGGCAAAATTATGAGTGAACTGTTTTCTTTGTAATCTTCCCTTAATGGTATTATACTGTTTTAACTAATGAATCAAAGCAAGAATTGAAGGAGAAAGGTGATGTGGACTTTCCAGGAGCCACAGTTGTAGGGGTAAGAAGCCAGGAGAAGAGGTTGGGATGAGTTTTACAACAAGGAGACAAACAGAAAGGTTCAAACCTTCCATTTTGAGGAGTGTTCTCTCTTGGTGTGTATGCTCTTGTTGAACAAGAGCAGAGTGGAAGCTTTGACTTCACTCTAATTTTTGGCATTTCATCAAGTCATTGATTTTAGCTCATTCTGAGTGTGGACATTTTGGATTGTTCTCTAATTTTCTTATGTGTATTTATTTGTATCATCTCCAAAAAGTATTAAATCTTGAGGATATGGGTCATGCATCCTCCTTAACACCTAGCATAGGGCAAGGCAAAGACTCCTATTTCAGAACAGAACCCAAGATGTGGCAGGGGAAAGCCAGGCTAACATGTGCATCCTGAATATGGATGTCAGGGAAAGCTGGTGAGTTTTCTGGGAGATTTGAGCAAAAAAAGAAATGCTGGAAAGGGCCCATATTAAGCTACTTAAAATTTTGTCTCCAGTATATACATCCCCTTCTTATGGAAATGATACCCTGCCTACCCTCTGGAAAGCCAAACCCTTTTTCCTTTTCCACCTCCCCACCTCTCAGCCAATGTGTGGAGGGGTAGAGCTGAGACCTGGACCCAGACCAGTCACTGCACAACATTTTCCCAGCCTAAACTTAGTGATTGGTTCAGGGATGGGCATGCAGCCCATGCAGCAAGCATAAGGCACAGGGACACGTTTGCTGGGAATGCCAGAAGAGAGGTAAGCTTTCTTTCCTGCTGGTCTTGAAATAGGAGAGCATGGCGGCTACCATCCGGTTACCAAGCAGCCCAAGTAGAAAACCAACAAGGAGGGGCAAGAAGAGAAATTGAGTACTAGTGGCATTGTTTGGGATCTGATCAAGCTCCACTCTGACCAGCTAAAACCCAGACTTTTCAGGGATGCCTGGGTGGCTCAGTTGGTTGAGCCTCTGACTCTTGATTTCAGCTCAGGTCATTATGTCACTGTTAGTTGGATCTAGCCCCCCCCCCCCCCCCCCCCCCCCCCCCCCCCAGCTCTGTGCTGACAGCTTGGGGCCTGCTTGGGATTTTCTCTCTCTCTGCCCCTCCCCAACTCATGCTCTCTCTCACTCTCCCAAAATAAATAAACATTAAAAAAAAATCATATTAAAGCCCAGACTTTTCAGTTTCCCGAGCTGATGGACTCCCACTTGGCTTAAGTCTGTCTGGGTTGGTTTTTCTGTCCCATGCAACTAAGAGTCCTGGATGACAAGGAAAATCTGCTGTAGACTCAAGCAGACTCGGGCTCAGATTCTGGCTTCAAACTGCTGACCCTGTAGCGATGCCATCAGGAAACAGTTTCTCCTCTCTGAACCCCAGTTCCCTCATCCACCAGCACTGTTCCAAGGATGTAATAACTTGTCAAAGTGCCAGCAGTATTTGGACAAAATAAGGTGATTAACGATTTATGGTGCCTTCCCTCCCTCTGGCTTCCTTTAAAGCACAAAAAGTAAACGCATTCTGACTGGAAGAGACAATGACTTTCTGCCAGCCAAATTCTCCTCCAGTGAGGCGGCACTGCAAGGACGAGAAGTACCTTGAAAGAGGCCACACCCGGGTCGGAGATGCCCGGTGCGTGTCGGCCCGTGCCGTAGCCCGCGTAGCTCATCACCCACGGCTCATGGAAGGTCACCCACAGCTTCACGCGGTCCCCGAAGGTGGCGAAGCAAAAAGCCGCGTAGTCCAGGAAGGCGTCCACCACACTGTCGTCCTGCCACCCGCCGCGCTCCTGCAGGGCCTGGGGCAGGTCCCAGTGGAAGAGCGTGGCCATGGGCTGGATGTGCGCGTCCAGCAGGCTGTCGATGAGCCTGCTGTAGTAGGCGACGCCCTGGCGGCTGGGTCCGGGCCCGAGCCCCGTGGGGAAGACGCGGGACCAGGAGATGGAGAACTTGTAGACGTGAGCTTGGAGGCCGCGAAGCAGGGCCACATCGGTGTCCACCTTGTGGTAGCTGTCACTGGCCACCTCCGGTGTTGCTGCGCCCTCGGAGGCGTGCCGGCGACCCAGGTGGTCCCAGACGCTCGGCCCTCTTCCGCCCTCGGCCCAGCCTCCTTCCACGTTAAAGGCTCCCGTGGAGACGCCCCAGAGGAAGCCTTCGGGGAAATCCTCCCGCAGGAAAGCGTCCCTTTCGGCCGTGGATTGGTTGGCAAATGTTCCCCAGACTCTCCGGTAGGCGGAGCCCCGCGGCGAGGAGGAACCTGCTGCGGTCCCTAGGGCAGGCTGCGCGGTGGTCTGGAGGGGCGCGCTGTCTGTCCGAGAGCAGGGCCCGCTGCGGGATCCGAAAGACGAAAAGGACACGGTGAGTAATGACCCTGCGGGTTACCTGCGCCCCCAGACTGATGGATGGCGGCAATGTGTGTAATTAGTAAAGGTTCGAGAAGCACTGAGTCAAAAGCCACACAAGTGCCTGGTAGATGGGAAAATTACTATTATTGCCTCTTCTTAGGTGAGTTATTATTGCTTCTGCAGGACTCCAAACACTGTGCCAAGCCTACCGTTCTGTGTATTAGCTTGTCCTCAAATACTGTCTTTAGTTCTGATGCCATGCTTTTTCGTCTTACTGTTTATAAAACATAGCTAATCATAATGATGGCTTTAACTCATTATGCCTTGATTCTGTGCTGGCCACTGTGATATGAATGTAGGTCTCTCCATTAATTTTCACGAATTTATTAGATAAGGACTACAGTTATTTAACCGTATCCTATAGAGAAGGAGATTGAGAGTCAAAGAAATGAGTATATTCTGGGCATCAGGGGACCAGCACCTGTTTGTCAGCTGGTATGGAAGAAACTATTTCAATAACTGAATTACTGGTGTAGCTCTACTGATGTGCATCAGCTAAATATTAACACCAGCTACAACCTCCTTTCTCCTTCATGCTGCCTGGATTATGGACACAATGGCAGGAGCTCATGCAGTCATACTGGACAATAAGGTGGAAGCCTTGTTAAGGATGACAAAAATTAAGGCAGAAGCCTGGATTCCTGATGATTGTACCTACTGTAGATCATCCATCTCCAGCCTTTGTAATGTAAATGAACCCACATCTTTTTTTTTTAATGAGAACTTCTCCTTAATCACATAGTTTACAAACTGTAGAATACAGTCTGTGCTTTTAACCACATATCACTGTATTTGTAGATGTGTAGACATTTATATATTTTTAAATATTTCATATATATAAATTCAGATAAATATATATATTTGAAATAAAACATACTGTAAAAATGCTATCCTTACATGAATGCACTCTATTTTCTATTTTATTCTAGTCCATTTCTCTCCTGTCTTTCCTTCCTTCCTTTTTTGTTTTTAATTTTCTTTTAACATTTATTTATTTTTGAAAGGCAGAGAGAGACAGAGCATAAGCAGGGGAGGGGTAGAGAGAGAGGGAGACACAGAATCAGAAGCAGGCTCCAAGCTGGCAGCACAGAGCTTGATGCGGGTCTTGAACTCACAAACCGCAAGTTCATGACCTGAGCTGAAGTCGGACGCTTAACCGACTGAGCCACCCAGTCGCCCCTCTTCCTTTCTTTTTTTAATAAAATATTTTCTTCTCATGTTTCAAAACAAACCCTAAATTGGTTTACCAATCTCCAAGTCCTGGCCTACAGGCTGGAAGGCACTGTAAGAGAGCATGTGGCAGTTACACCAGCAGAGGGCAATGTTGAGGAAGGGTTGGTGTAGGTGGATGTGTTTGGTCTGGAGGGGGAATCGCAGGGGGATGGTGGAAGGGGGTGCAGTACAAGGGCATCTCCTGTCCAATGGCCATCATGTGGAGGGAGGATGTCATTTGTGCGTGGTTAGCCCAGAGCACAAAATTGGTAAAAGTGACAGGGACATTGCAGAGGGACCTCTGTCCAATGGAGAGAAATCTGGGTCTTCCAAACTTAAGTACCTCCTATTTTACAAAGCGTCAACGAACTCACATTTGCTAAAACAGCAGTGGGGGTGGAGGGTGATCTATAGTTATGGATTATCCATAATATATACAGGTCTCTGGAGCACAACCAGGGACACAGGTGACACCCACTCAATGAACAGACTCAGCTACTCTGACCTAAAACTCCTGATCCTGATTGTCCTCCTGGCTTGGAAGAAATGAAGTCTTGAGGAAAGAAACAAACAGTCCCTGGATAAAATACAATTTGCTCTAAAGGACTGCTTAATTATTCATTTGCTTTTTTATTTGCTTATGTATGTATGTATAATCTCTTCACCCAGCATGGATCTAGAACTCACAACCTTGAGATCAAGAGTTACATGTTCTTCTGACTGAGCCAGCCAACCACCCCTCAATTTGCTCTAAAAGCTTTAATGCTGGAAGTTCAGGTTTACCTCAGTTGGGAGGAGATTTAACATACTCAGTATGAGTATACTGAGTATCTCTCAAGAGATTTAGCATAGCCTCAGTTTCTATGCCCAGGCCTTGCAGGTAGCCCTCCTTCAGCTATTCCTCCCCTGCCCCCAGCCACCTCAGAGCATCCCAGATAATGCTATTTCTCCCCCTTCTGGGGAGCAATGCTTTGTCTTCTGTCACAATCTGGTATTAGAGTCATTTGTGAGCCACTCTGCTTCCCCTCCAAGGTCTAAGATTCTCAAAGAGAAAAGGATGTTACTCCTGTTGGAACCCCCCTCAATCTGCCCTGGCCCTCAGCAGACTCTCCACCAACATCCCCCTGAATGAGGATCCCCGGCTGTTAGTTTAATGTCAGCCAGTGTTGGACCTTTGCCTCAGGCCAAGTTTAGAGGGAGAACCTTGGAGCTGATATCATGTGGCATCTTGTGGTTTTATAATTACTGAGCTTTCTGGGTAACCCTTTCATTATGGCCTCTTGAGTTCTATTTTCTGAAAATACATAGCCCAGTAATCCTCAGCTGACTCCGAGTGTGGTCAGGGAGCACTTTTGACCTATCTGCTCTTTCTACCATTCATACTTCCAGCACAAAGCCTGACAGTAGCAGCCACTCGGGGTCTGTTGGTTTAACTGGCGGAGCTTGAAGTGAGTTGAGAGGACTGAACAACAGATTGAGATACGCAAGTGCTAGGAGAGGAAAAGCACAAGAAGATGGTAGCAACTGAGTGAGTGACCCTGGACAGAGCTTTTCTAGCAGTCTGAGGTAGGGTAAGGAGAGCTCTAGCTCAAAGTCTGGGAAGCCAAATGATTCTTTCCAGTCTTTGTCTTTCGTCAATGCATGGTCCATGAAGCTCACATGTGTAACATACCCATGGAAGGCTGACGTTTCTGGGGAACAACCGTGTCCTGGTTTCCACACCATCCTTTTAGGTTTTTGTCTTTTAGGTTTGTCATGTGGAGAGAGGATGTCATTTGTACGTGGTTGGCCCACGTCTTTTTTGTCTTTTAGGTTTTTATTTTATTTTATTTTTTAAATTTTATTTTAAAGTTTTTTAAAATTTACATCCAAATTAGTTAGCATATAGTGCAACAATGATTTCAGGAGTCCACACCATCCTTTTCATGCTCACTTGGGAAGCACGTCGGATTTTGAGTGTTGTGAGAGGGTCATTATGGGGGTAACCTACAACCTGCTCTAATTTTTTTTTAAAGTATGCCATTTACAAATTTTGGTATTTTAGCCATAATTTCGGTAAGAAATTATTTGCAACCCCACATAAATTAAAACCTCTCTTCTTAGGGTATGCCTGGCTGTCTCAGTTGGTAGAGCCTGTGACTGTTTATCTTGAAGGGTCATGAATTCAAGCCCCACATTGGGTATAGAGATTACTTAAGGAAATAAAAAAGTAAAAAAAAAAAAAAAAAACCCACGAAAACCAAAAACAACCTCTTCTTAGAACACCACTGAGTTAGGTTTCTGCCCCAGTGCAACAGTTCAATCTCCTACCTATGCTATCTCCTCGAGGGGAAGATGTTTTACATATCACATGAGGAAACAGGTATACAGAACTAACCTCACTTACTCAGAACATGTAACTTCAGTGGGGTGGTCAGATATATCTTTAACCCAGGCTGCTGTTCCACAAACTCAGGTTGTCTCCAACAAGATCTTAAATTAGAAGACAGGGGTTCAGATACCAGCTCTACTCATTGTGTACACTTGGACAAACTGCAAAGGTCACCAGTGCAGAATGACAAGAGAGGATGCAGGACCATGTGGGCCCCGGGTAAGATGCAATGGGAGACAGGCTCTCTCTGCCATCCCCTCTGAGCCTTTATCTCTCGCCTACAGAACAGCCATGATAAAATCACTGGCGAGAGGCAGATGGCAACAGTCCCATGAGATCACACATATGAAAGAATATTCTGCAAATATCAGCTATTGATACTTCAGCAGGAAATCTAACGTTACCTTTTCTTGGAACTTGAACAGCTCAGGAAAGTATTGAGATCAAACCCAATGGTGATCACTTGGCTTTTATTTATGGCTGTAAAAGAAGAAGTTTAATTAATTCTCCCTGAAGTCCAACCAACAATATGCATGATTGCCATCAATCGTTTTCCTTATAGATACAACACACCCAAACTCCAAGCAATTGTTCTAAGCTCCCTGGAAAATGCCATGGACTAAAGAACTAAGGAGGTCAGAAGTGATTTCCACCTACTTAGAACAGTGGTTCTCAAACTTCCGTGTGCATCAGAATCACCTGCAGAGCTTGTAAAGCACAAATTGCTGGGCCCACCTCACAGTTTCTGATCCAGTGCATCTGACATAGGGCTCAAGGATTTGAATGTCTAACAAGGTCCCAGGTGAGGCTGATGCTGCTGGTCTGGAGACCACACATGGAGAACAATTGATTTAGAAGAACTCAGACATCAGAAAAGGATGGAATTTTTTAAATTGTAGTAAACTATGTATCAACATAAAATTGACCATTTTAGCCATTTAGAAAGGGATGGAACTTAAGAATAGAGATCGGTATGCCATCAAAAAATGAGTTAGGGTGAGGGTTATTAAGTGGTATCTATGGATGAGTGTCAGGAGGTCTGTGAAGTCAGCTCAGTACTGGTTACAGGTAGTAAAAAGGGCACTACTGACTTATACCATACTCTGCCTTATAGGGTGACTGGGATGGATGTCAGGACACCCAGGAATGTGGCCCTCAGATCCTTCCTGCAGAGTCTCTAGTAGATCCTCAGCCCCTGATGCCTTAACAGAATCCACCTTTCCCTTGACCCGACTGGACCAGGAGTGATCTCCTGATCCATGGGCCCCCAGTCAGATTCACTCTCAAGAATTTGACATAAGAAGCACAGAGAAGATGGTCCATGAGCTGTGGGTCTTAGACATGAAGGTTTTGGTGAGGTGCCCACTGGCACCATGTGCAAGCTGAAGTGAAATGGGGACGTGAATAAGAGGAAGCAGAGTGAGGCAAAGGTGAGATATCGGAGGGATGGGTAATGGAAGGGGACACACAAGCACAGAGCAGTTCCCCTGCTTACACCTGATACCTGAGGCCTGATGGCCTTTATTTACACAAGACCGAGGCATCCTTGTCATCTTTATACAGAACCCCTCGTCTTTCTTGGGTCAGTGGGAGCTAAGGGACAGAGGGTACAAAGGCGTCTGGGGTGGGCTCTCAGACCAGCCCTCCTCTGGTCCTTCCTCTTATTGGAACCCCAGACTTTCAGGACTGCTACTGCCAAGCCAGTGCACCAAATGTGACTCAAAACCTCGCCAGCAATGGTCCACTCACCCTCGAGAAGGCTGAAGAGCAGTGTGGCTGACTTCTTCCTGGTGGAGGGGCAGTCCTGGAATCTTAGACTGAAGATGAAAATTTTTACTTTTGGCTCAACATTCTGAAAAAGATAAAGGCCAACAAGTGAATTGAAGTTGCCTAGCATAAGTCTTTTGATAACAAGGATAGATTTTCAAGATGAGAAGTTACGAACCTCACGCCGGTTTGGGAAATGACCTCCAGACATCTCAATTAGGAAAGGAAGCAGACTCTAGACTCGGAGGGAGAATGAGCTACACTTTTCAGTAACAGCGGCCACACCCTCCCCATCAACCCACACCAAAGAGATAGGCTTAGCATGCTTACTAGGCTTACAGTGCCCAACCAGGCACTGTGTTGGGACCAGGGACAAGGCCATCCACTCATGTTAGGGGCCTTTCTCACTATAAGAGGCTTAATCAGGTGCCACCATCACAGGATTTATGCATGTCTGGGGTTTGCTTCAAAACAACCTGACTTGAGAAGGGGAAGATGGGGCATCGATGAAACAAGATCAGCCATGAGTCGACAGCTTTTGAAGTTGGGGATGGCTTCGTTATACTTTTCTTGTAGACTTATTTCACATTTTCCATAAGAATAATGATGATAAAGCGGCCCTCATTCAAATGGAACAGGTGTGACTTTTCTCCCATTTCTAAGCCATTTCACTGTCAAAGGAAACATGTTGTGTGACTTCACTTTCAATTACCTTTTCTGGGGACGAGGTTGGGTTTGGTCATTTTCCCCACATCAAGTTTTTCCGCCTCGGAGGAGTTAAAAGCCACTGAGAGATACCGATAGCAACTACTTCCAAAGAAGGCAGGCTCATTCTTTATTTTCTCAGAGTCACCTGCAACAATGCCCCTTCTTTACAGATAAAGTGCCTTCAGCCTTGAGAAGCTAAGTTGCCCAAGACCACAGTTAAAGGAGGTGCAGCTCATACAGTCCTCATTCTTTCCCTTGCTGGGTGGATGCAGGGGAACCCAACAGCTAAGGGGACCGAGGATTTTCTCTCTCCTGAAAGATCAACACACAATGGGGGCCAGGAGGGCTGAAGGAGCCTTCAGCTGAGTGGGGAATTTCCTGGGTGAGCAGAGCCTTTACCTGCTCAGAGGACAGGGGCACTGCTCATGCACCTCCTGCAGAATTTAGATGTGCTGGGCATGAGGATGTCTTCTAGCCCTAAAACACCTGTGTGCTGGTGAGAAGAGCAGCAGCTCAGGGTCCCTGAGGCTCGGAGAAGGATGTGCAGGTGCTCTGGGGAGAGTGGAAGGAAATGGGAATGGGACAGCGCGGGACCTGCTCCTCCAGGCCTTCAAGCCTCCAGGAGCAGGGTGAGAGGACCCCAGATAAGGAGGAAGGGTACGCTCCGAAGGAAGCAGTGGGCAGAATGATCTGGGTTCTTGGGGACACAAGTCAGCCCCTCGCCTGGGGAGAAAGCTGTTCTTCCTCTCCTGGGTGTGCTGTGTCGGAAATGGTATACGCCTGTAAACCAACGAGCCCAGAGAGGGACAGTCTCCTCTCCAGCTCAGTTCTCTCCTCATAGCTGGTGATGAAAGTGGTCATCCTGAATCTTTAGAGCTACATCTGAAGTGTCAAATGCAGCATCTGGAACCTAATCCCTACCTAAGGAAATAATAGGAATAAAGAACTCCTAATAAAAGGCTGCCAAGTTTGTCCAGGAGGGTTTTACTATTCGGCTGGCCAGCTCTCAACTGAGAGTTCACAGCTTTATCCAGACACGGGGGGAGCAGGCCTTCTTGAAAACGTTTTGATGTCAAAAGAGAAACACTGTAAACCACATCCTCAAGCAGAAATTAAGCCAGTGCTCTGTTGATGGCCTCTCTGAGGCATGCTCCATCTGCCTAACCCAGACAGTTTTAAAACGTCAGACAATGAACCCATTAGCTGAGGAACAAGCCCTGGTTGAAGTCCTTAAAGAAGACAAAAGACAGGTTTAGGTGTGACAGGCATCAGCAGGCCTTGAAGACACTACTTCAGCGCTGCTTACGGCCCAGAAATCTGGCCCACCAAGCCCACCAGTGCAGTCTCTGGGTCAAGCCAGTTTGGGTTCAGGTAAGAAGATATTTGCAAAAACAACTAAAATTATACATGATTTTCAAAAATGCCACCCTCATTATAATGTCCCCAACACCTTGGAATTATTTTTGTCTTGCAGAGGGAGTGTGGTGTCATGAGAAAGCCCTGGTTCCGATTCCAGCTCTGCTCACTACCTCATGTCTGACCTTGGTTAAGTTTCTTAAGTGTTGGGGTCTGCTGTAAGGGATAACATGAGGATAAAGTGCCCCACGCGGTGCGGGGCACAGAGCAGGCACTAAAGTCATAGCAGCTATTACTCAAATATCTTGTGAATGCATCTGCTGTCTTTGATTATTAGATCATAGTATTTGTAAACAATAAAAGTGGCAGTGCCTACAAGGTCAGCAGGAAACCCACAGACACAGGGATGGGACTGATGCTAATTAGTCCATTTCAAGCTTCCAGCCTCGGGTCAAATGGAGTTCCCACCTAGTTGCAGCACTGAGGGTTTGACACTGATGAGCTTGGCCTTTAAACAGGTAATTCCTCTAACAATCCACCCTGCCTATGGTGGGGGTGCTGGGATTCAAAGCCAGGAGGCACAGGGCTGAAAGCAGAGGGGAGTGGCTTTATAACCCACACCTGCAGAGGCAAGAGGAAGACACGGGTGAATGCTGGTGGCCAGGTGTCCCTGGAGAGGCCTGTGAGAGGGCAGCTCTTCAGGGGTAAGTATGGAAATACTGCTAGGACCCAGGAAGGCCAGAGAGAAGCCACTGGGTGTGCAATCTGTTCTAACCTGTTAGGAGATGGGCTAACAGTCAGGACTCCAGGGAATTGGGGATTTGTCTTCCATGAGGAAGGTGCTCAGCAGTGACCAAGCATAGGACAGAAAGCTAATAGGTAGGTAGGTGGCATCCAACATACTTTCTCTAAATAGTCACAATCATTAGACTTGAGGAAAACAATCCTGGGAACGGGAAGGAAGGGCCTGAGGTTACAGGAAGATCCCCATAGCTGGCATCTGATTCAGCAGACCTGGGTGTGAAATGTCTTTTTTTTTCAGTTGTGGTGAGACATACATAAAATTTGCCATCGTTAGAAAGGGAGAGAGCCAAAGCATAAGAGACTCTTAAAAACTGAGAACAAACTGAGGGTTGATGGATGGGAGGGAG